GTCATAGTGCCACAAAGACAGCTACCGTAGCAAACGATCGCGCAACGCTGTGGTGTAAGCGGTTCCCCATTATCCGATCGGGGGTTCTGCTACTAATCGGCGCAAGCTTTGTTGCACATGCTTCGGAAGACTCCTCTTGCCGAACAATGGAATGTAAGATCGCAGGCATGGGGGTCGACTTGGATACCCCGCGAGTGATTAGATGACAAAGCGTCCAGCGATACTGCCTCTTCTTGTCCAGTATGCATATTTTTCGGCCATTGTGATTGCCATCCTGTGGTTTGCTTTTTGTCGGACGACTTGGATAGGCCGATCGCCATCCGGTGGCACGTTCGGGCTGTCCTCGATAATGTCGCCCATGTGGAGTCCGCCGAAACCGATCAGTGACGCTATACCGCCCAATGTGGTTAGGATACCGTTCTGGCCCAGATGGAAAGACTCAGTCGTTCCCAATTGGCCCATTATTCTGCTGAAACTATCCGCAGTAGTAATCCTAATCAGTCTATCGTTTGGAGCCCTTGCAAGGCGCGTGTGGAAACCAGGCGCCAACTACTGGTTAGATTTCGCGTGGTATTCGGGCCTCTGTCAATTTGTTGCGGCATTTGCCCTGACGCTGGTGTCGCTCCCCCTGTACTTGATTCTTGATGACCTTCTAGGAGTCTTCATCTCTGTAGCAATGTTCGGCGGGGCTTTAGCAGGCCGCAGGTTCGCTCGCCTCGAACGCCAACACCAATCAGATCACGTTTGTGTAGAGAAACATGTCCTCTGCGATGTGGCGATTCGGCACGAGGATCATTTGGGCGATGAGTTACATCACGACGGTGCGGTGGCTTCGCCGCCGGAATCGCAATCCCGCGGTGTGCAAGACTACTCCAGCGCCATTGGCGGCGTTGCAATAGGACTCTTGTTCTCATTCGCCCTCATGCTGTCGTCAGTAATGCTTGGTAAGCTTTGCTGGGATCAAGGTCTACTCCCGAATCACAAACCGCTTCTTGGCCTGAGGATTACCGGCGTGCTTTTGGCGATATCCGGTGTTTGCAGTGCCTTTGCTTTGCTCTTCCGGAACCAGACCGATCAAGTAAAGGGCATCATGCTGGGCATGATCGCGGGATGTCTCTTCTGGTCGGTGCTTATGTTTTGTGTCCATTAGTTGAACCAGACAACACGGCGACGGATCGTCGCCCGCTAAGTCGGAGTCCTACGATCGCAACAGCCATCGGTAGAGTACACCGACAACATTCTCAGATAGTGCTTCAACGCGTCGGTTGGACCACCCGACCTTAGTCGCAGCCGCTCACTAGTCGCCGAGGTGTGCCCAACTTCGGCGAGATACCGCCGTTCTCGGAAAAGCGTCGGTGTGTCGGTGCGACGCTTGTTGGAGCGTGCTCGAGTGACGGCTCAGTACGGCTACAGCAAACCTGCTGAGGTGGGGTACACCGCTGCCAGTTAGCGGTCGATGGTCTCTGCTAGAGTATTCGCAAGCGCCGCAAAACTAGCCCCGCCACTAGACTGGCTGACCAACCTATACATCCCACAAGGGGTCTGCGATCGGCCGGAGTGTGGCTCCGTAAGGTAAGCCGCGATGAGATCTCAAGCTCTAGTACCGTGGTGGCCTAGGCGGGACCGGAGCGTACGACGATGGTGTTTCTCGTCGCAACTCAATGCTAAACGGGCCGCCTCAGGGTTGGCAAGGCCGTCTTCACCGCGATCGTGAAGACCATCAGCCCGAAGGCCCAGATGCCGACGGTCACCTTCCACTCGAGCTGGCTAGGGGCGTACTCGACGATCTCGTGCAGCGTGCTGGGGACAAAGCCTGGGATGATGAGCCCCATGCCCTTCTCGATCCATGCACCCACAAAAGCCATACAGCACGCCGCCACGAGCAAGGGGCGCCGCCGCAGGTCCAACAGCCCAGGCCACAACAGCAAGAGAGCCGCGAGCACGTCGAGGATCATGGCGGTCCAGATCCACGGCACCAATGCGGACTTGCCGTGCAGCCCAAAGTACAGGTACTTCGCAGCGCTCACGTGCGCGCCGCCGGTATAGAACTCGGTGAAGATCTCCGACACGACCATCAGGAGGTTGATGAGAATCGTAATCCGTATGATCCGCGTCAGGGTAGCGATCGGCTGGTCGAACCCCTGAACGCCGGTCAACCGCTTGATGATGACCATTGCGACGACAATAAACGCCGGGCCGGACACGAAGGCGGACGCTAGGAACCGGGGCGCTAGCAGCGCGGTGTTCCAGAACGGCCGTCCGCCCAGGCCGCAGTAGAGGAACGCGGTCACGGTGTGGATGGATATGGCCCACACGATCGAGAGCATCACAAACGGGACGTACCAAGCCGGGTTGGGCGTGCGGCCCAGGAAACGCATGTAGAGGAGGTAGCCGCAGATGTGCAGGTTGAGCAGCAGGTAGACGTTCAGCACGATCACGTCCCAGGTCAGCATCGAGATCGGGAAGTTGAACTTGCCGATGCCCGGGATCAGGTGCCAGAAGCGGTCGGGCCGGCCAAGGTCGGCCACCACGAACATGAGGCACATGACGATCGCCGCGATCGCCAGCAACTCGCCGACAATCACCACGTCGTGCATCTTGCGGTCGTGGTAGAGGTACGCGGGGATGACCATCATCACTCCGCCGGCCGCGAGCCCGACCATGAACGTGAAGTTGGCGATGTACAGCCCCCAGCTGACCTGATCGGTCATGTTGGTGCCGATCATCCCGCCCGCGACCTGGTTGGCCCAGGCGTTGGCGCCGACCAGGAACAGGGCGGTCAGCAGCGTCATCCAGACGTAGAACCCGAACGAGCCCTCGGTCGCCAGCCACAACGAGCGTCCAAGGAACCGCGGGTAGCTGGTAAGGTGGCTGCTGCTGGCGTGGGTGCTGCTCATGGGTATGGAATTGGCCGAGCCGACGGAAGCCGGACCGCTGATCAGTCGAAGTAGTAGAAGAACGCGGGCTTGGTGCCGAGTTCCTCCTTGAGGATGTAGACACGTTTGTTCTCGAGAATCCAACGGATGTTGGAATCCGGGTCGAGGATGTTTCCGAACACGCGGGCGCCGGTGGGGCACGCCTCCAGGCAGGCGGGCAGCTTGCCACGGCGGGTGCGGTGCAGGCAGTAGGTGCACTTCTCCACAACGCCGACCGGGCGGACCCGGTTGCTCAGGTAGCTTTGATCGGGGTTGATCTCCTCGGCGGGCACCTCCGGTTCTTTCCAGTTGAACCGCCTCGCGTGGTACGGGCACGCGGCCTCGCAGTAGCGGCAGCCGATGCACCAGTTGTAGTCCACGACGACTATGCCGTCCTCTTCCTTCCAGGTCGCCTTTACTGGGCAGACGTCGACACAGGGCGGCTCGTCGCACTGCTGGCACTGGACCGGCAGGTAGAACTTGTCGTCTTTGGGGACCTCGCCGGTGTAGGTGGTCGAGCCCTGCTCCATGTCCATCGTGCCCTTGGGCATCTCGATCACGCGGATATACGACTGATTGGTCGCCCGGTCGTGGTTGTTCTCTTTGTGGCACGCCTCGACGCACTTGCCGTTGCCGTTGCAGACGCTCAGGTTGATTGCGTAGACGAACTTGGTGCCCGGGATCGGCCGGTCGTCGGCGATGGTCACCTCGGCGCCGTACTTCTCTTCGGCCTCGGACTCCAGCCGAGCGATCACGTCCGCCTTCTGGTCGGGCGTGAGCTCGGTGTAGTGCTGCTGCATGAACTCCGCGGCGGTCGTGTTCTTTGCCGCCTGACGGAGCGGCGAGACCGCCGCCACAAACGCCGCGGCGCCGAGCGTGGCGAAGCCGCCCTTCACCATCGCCCGCCGGGTCGGGTTCTCGATCACCGGCAGGGAACCATCGGCGTTCGGTTCAATGGTCGTCATGCTCGGCCGCCCCTTGCTGGTAGTGTGTATCCGGTTCGTTGAAGCGGTCCCGTGGCTTGAACCCAACGACCATCTTCGGGTAGCTGGGTGCGTGTGGATCGTGGCAGTCGACGCAGTTGTTCTTAGTCTGCTGGCCGCGGGTCCGGTCCCAATACCCGTTCATGCCGCCGTGGGCGCCGTGAGCAAACGCGGTCGCCTGCGGCCCGTGGCACTGCGAACAGAGCGTCATGACGTCCTCGTATGCCACTGGCGAGCCATCCGCCAGACGGAGCGTGTCGGCGTTGTTGGGGTTGTGGCACCCGTAGCAGGCCACCTTCCCATGGTTGAACGTCATCCCCTTGTGGAACTCGTCCAGCGAGGAAGCGGTGGTGTTCTTCATATCCGGCGGCCGCACCGAGTGGCACGTGCTGCAAGCGACGCTGCCGGTGCGACCCTGGGGGTCGACTCCCGCCAACTCGATTCGAGGCGGGCCGCTGGGCCTGCGTACCGTCACCGGGAAGAGCTCGCTGACCGCTGATCGGTCGCTATCCTCACCTTGCGGGCGCGACGCGTTCACGCCAGCGACGCGTTCTGAGTTGGTTGGCGCCTTCGGGGTGGTTGCGTTGGTCGTCGACTGCCAGAGCGCTCCGGCAACAACTGCGCCCGCTAAGCACGCCCCGCTGGCATAGAGGAGTCTGGGAGTCGGCGCCATGAATCTAGCTGGGAAGAGGTTTCACTGACGGCCATTAATGTATACACTCTGGTGCAGGTTGGCGATACCTTTGTTCAACGAGGCTTCGCTCTTTTCTACCATGAAAGCGGCCGGTATGCCCGTTAGCGGACTTGTCGTGACTTTCAACTCCTCGGTAGCGGACCACGCCGATGCTGTCGCAGCGCTCGGTGCGATCCCCGAAGTCGAAATCGGCGAATCCGGAGGCAGCAAGCTTGCAATCGTGATCGACTCGGCCGACAAAGACCGTGATCAGGAGATATGGAACACGGTGCGGCAGTCGCCCGGCGTCATTGATGTGGCGATCGCCATGATCGCGTTTGACGAGGAGAACGTCGAGTAACCCGACGGCGCCCCCACCAGGAACAAGCAATGGAAACCGAACGCCGCAGCTTCCTGAAGTCCGCAGCCATGGCGGCGGCCGGCTCGCTCGTCGCCAGCGAGCAAGCCTACCCGCTGCAGGTGATCCAGCCGGATGACTCCCTGCCCGACGGCGACGGCCTTACCTGGAATAAGGCGCCCTGCCGATTCTGCGGCACCGGCTGCCACGTCCAGGTGGGCGTTGAGGACGGCCGCGTGGTTGCTATCGCCGGCGACAAGGCGGCAGACGTCAACAAGGGCCTGCTGTGCGTGAAGGGCTACCACGTCGGCGGAATCCTTTACGGCAAGGACCGGCTCACCACCCCGCTGCTCCGCCGCGACGGCAAGCTGGTTGAGATCGACTGGGACGAGGCCATCGAGATCATTGCCCAGCGAATCTACGACGCCCCCGACAAATTCGCATTCTACGGCAGCGGGCAGTGGACCATTCCCGAGGGCTACGCCGCGCAGAAGCTGATGAAGGGCGGGCTGTCAAACAACCACATCGATCCGAACGCGCGTCTGTGCATGGCCTCGGCGGTGACCGGCTTCCTCGCCACCTACGGCGTGGACGAGCCGGCCGGCTGCTACCAAGACCTTGACGAGTGCGACGTGCTTATCACTTGGGGCAACAACCCCGCAGAGATGCACCCGGTGTTGTTCTCTCGGGTCACCGACCGCCGCTCCCGTGGAGAAACGATCCGCATCATCGACATCGGCACCCGCCGCACGCGCACAACGGACGCGGCGACCGACTACCTCGAGATGAAGCCCCACGGCGACGTCGCCATCGCCCTGGGGATCATGCACCTGCTTATCAAAAACGAATCGTACGACAAGTCGTTCGTGGAAAAGCACTGCGCGTTCCGCGGTGACGAAGCCGACACGCCCACGCTGCAGGGCGAGGCCATCACGGAAGAACACTTCCGCGAGCGGATCGCCAAGTACACCCCGGAGCACGTGGAGGAACTATCCGGCGTGCCGGCCGACCAGATCCGCATGCTGGCCGACCTGTTTGGAGACCGCGACGCGCGGATTACCTCGCTGTGGTGCATGGGCATGAACCAGCACACGATGGGGACCGCGATCAACTCGCTAGTTCACGGCGTGCACCTTCTGTCGGGGCATTTTGGCCGTCCCGGCGACGCGCCCACCAGCCTCACGGGGCAACCGTCCGCGTGCGGAACCGTCCGCGAGGTGGGCACCCTGGCGCACGCTCTGCCAGGGGGGAGGCTCATCGCCAAGCCCGAGCACCGCGCGCAGTGCGAGGAATTCTGGAACCTGCGCCCGGGCGCCATCAACGACACGCCAGGCTATCACACGGTGAAGATGTTCGAGCAGTTCACCAAGCCAACCGCCGAAGGCGGCGACATCACCACGCTCTTCGTGCAGGTCACCAACCCGGGGCAGACGCTGCCGAACCTCAACGCCCTGTTCAATGACAAGCAGGGGCTGGAAGACAAGTTCCTCATCGTCAGCGAAGTCTACCCGACGGCGACCACCCAGCTCGCCGACCTGATCCTGCCGGCCGCGATGTGGGTGGAGAAGAACGGCGTCTACGGGAACAGCGAACGCCGGACCCAGCAGTGGTTCAAGATGGTCGACCCGCCCGGTCAGGCCCGCGACGACGCCTGGATGACCATCGCGATCGCCCGCAAGCTGTTCGACATGGGCCACGAAGGGATGCGGGACAAGGACGGCGAGTTCATCTTTTCGGTGAAGGACGAGAACGGCGACGAGGTCCCCGTCTGGCAGTACGACCACTACTACGACGTCAACGTCGACAAGCACCTGTTCGAAGAGTACCGCCAGTTCACCCGCATGAAGCACAAGAACCTGGCGCCGTACGACGAGTACGTCAAAGCCCGGGGCCTGCGGTGGCCGGTTGTTGAACAGCCCGACGGCTCTTGGCGCGAGACCCGGTTCCGATTCTCCGGATTCGACGACCCGTTCGTTGCAGAAGGGCAGGAGTTTGACTTCTACCACTCCACCAGCGGTGACGGGCGAGCCCAGATCTGGTTCCACGAGTACCATCCGCCCCCTGAGGTCCCTGACGAGGAGTACCCGTTGTGGCTCTGCACCGGCCGGGTGCTGGAGCACTGGCACACCGGCACCATGACCCGGCGGCTGAGCCCGCTCAACCGGGCGATGCCAACCGCCTACGTCGAGATGCACCCAGACGACGCCAAATCGGCCAACATCCGTCAGGGCGAAACGGTCGTCATCCAGTCGCGTCGCGGCGCCGCGGAATTACCGGTCTGGATCGACGGCCGAGGGAAGCCGCCCCGCGGCACGATCTTTGTGCCGTTCTTCGACGAAACGAAGCTCATCAATAACTGCACGCTCGAGGCGTTTGACCCGTTCTCCAAACAGCCCGACTACAAGAAGTGCGCAGCACGGGTGGTCAAGAAGGATGCTTCAGGGGCGTCGACATGAACAAGCTGGCGACAGTCTTTCTATCGGTGGTGCTAGCGGTCGCGGTGGTCGGCTTCTTCGTCGGCATCTCTGACGGCGTGCCCCAGCCGGACGGGCTGCAGGACTCGCCACTGGAGTTACCCGACGCACAACACCACGCGGCCCAAGACCACAAGCTGGTCGCAGCGACCAGCTACGCCGACGTCCCAGATGTGGCCATGGGCCCCACGGCCGCCTGGCGGGCCCAGCCTCAGCAACTGCCGCCGACCCCGTACGACCTGTTCGCCGAAGTTCAGCCGAGCGAGGAGGAGAAGATAGAGTCGAGCAGAGTTCGCGCGTCACGGCGCGCCTACAACGGCGCGCCGCCGATCATCCCTCACCCGGTCGAGAACACGAACGACGCCGCCTGCTACGCCTGCCACTCCAACGGCATGAGGATGGCCAACCTGAAGGCGAGCGTGATGTCGCACGAGTTCCTTGGCAACTGCGTCCAGTGCCACGCGCCGATGGCGCCGGCGCCGTTCCGAGAGATGGACGCAACCGTCCAGACCACGTTCGTTGGTCTGCCCGCGCCGAAGCAGGGTGAGCGGGCCTACCCCGGCGCGCCGCCAACGATCCCGCACTCGCAGTGGATGCGGCAGAACTGCAGCGCGTGCCACGGCGGGCCCAACGGCTGGGCCGGGCTGGAGTCGACGCACCCGTGGCGGACCAACTGCACGCAGTGCCACGCCCCTTCCGCCGCCCTTGATCAGGCCGTGGCGGTGGACGCTGTGCCCATGCTGCCCCCCCTCCAGGTCGACGTCCAATGAGTCGACCACGCGGCGCAGCTACCGACCGGCAAAGAGGCGACTTCTCGCCGAAGGCGCCGTACCCCCGGGCGCTTGCTGGCCTGCGCCGGATAGGCGCCAAGATCGTTCGTTGGTTCGCGGCCCCCCGCGCTACCTCCGAAGGGCGCCGGGCGTTTCTACAAGGCAGGCTTTGGAAACTGCTCCCGCCACCCGAGCCGCCTCCCCTCGTCACGCGATACCCCAAGGCGCCGTCAGGCGAGACGCCCCTCCCCGCTCCGCGGAGCATCGCCGGCATCAGCATCGAGCCAGTCCGGCCCACCGATCTCTCCGCCAAGCCTGTCGCCCGAACGATCCCCCTATTCCGTCCTCCGGGGGCGATCGCCGAGCCACAGTTCCTCGCCGGCTGCACTCGGTGCGGCGATTGCATCACCGCCTGTCCGTACGAAGCGATTCGCAAGGCGCCCGAACGGGTCGGCGCCGCGGCCGGGACGCCCACCATCGAGGCCGACGCGTCCGCCTGCCAGATGTGCGAAGACTTTCCATGCATCTCCGCCTGCGGGCCGGGCGTGCTGACAAGCTCGATTCCTCCGATTATGGGAACGGCTCAGGTTACCGAGCACCTTTGTCTGGCGCACCACCACACCACCTGCACCGTGTGCAGCGAACGCTGCCCGGTGGAGGGCGTCTTCACCGTAACCGAGGGCAAGCCCTTCATCGATGAGTCGCTATGCACCGGCTGCGGTGTCTGCCGGTATGTCTGCCCCGCTCCAGAGAACGCCATCCTGCTGATGCCCGCCTTGTCCCGCCCCGGATTGTCGCACCAGTGAACCCAGACGACCCGATCCCTGAGATCCTCCAGGCCGAGTGGGCGCGGGATCAGGTCATGCAGTTGTTCGTGGACCTGGGCACCGGCTCCGAGGTCCACCACGTCCAGTTGCGGACCGCTGCCGGTGACTCGGCGGCGTCGCTCCCCGCGGCGGAGAGGGCGTTCTCCGCAGGCGAGGCCCACGCTATCCAGGTGCGTTACCGGTTTGAGGGCGAATTGTGGTGCGACACCATCATGCCTGGTGACCCGACCACCAAGATCATCCGCAACCGGCTGCCAGGCTCCTAGCCTCCGCTCGGAGCATTGCCCGCTACATCCATTCAACGGAGGCATTCCACCCTCGGCCAAAACCTGCACCTTGACATGCAGATTTATTTCCATACTATTCGAGGGAGCAGCAAGTCCCGGCCGCACACCAACGAGGTGCGGTCACTACTCTTCAGACAGCGAGTTTCCGTCAATGACGACCCTCGACCACAACGATTCTGTCGGCACCTTCGTCCGCGAGCACCCCGCCCGAGCTCGCGTGTTCGAGTCACTCGGGATCGACTACTGCTGTGGCGGTAAGACCTCGCTCGCCGACGCGTGCCTCAGTAAGGGCATTGATGTCGATTCCGTGCTGCATCAGATCGCTGAAGTCGACGCCAGCGACGAAGCTGACGACCTTGTAGACGCCGATGCATTGTCGCTGGCCGAACTCGCGGACCACATCGAAGCAACCCACCACGCCTATCTCCGGGAAGAGCTGCCCCGCCTCGACCGTATGACCGAGAAGGTCGCCCGGGTCCATGGCGACAGAGAGCCACGTCTGTTTCAGGTGCGGCGGGCATTCGTGGCGTTGAAGGCGGAACTCGAGCCACACATGCTCAAAGAGGAGCAAGTCCTTTTCCCGATTGTGCGCCGGCTGGACGCGTCGCACAGCGCCCAGCAGACCCATTGCGGCAGTGTTGCGAATCCGATCCGCCAGATGGAGCACGAACACGACCAAGCTGGCGCCGAGCTGGCGGTGCTCCGCGAAGCGACGGATGGGTACACGCCCCCCGAATGGGCATGCAATACTTACCGGGCAATGCTCGACTCGCTCGAGCGGCTCGAAGCCGACATGCATCAGCACGTTCATAAAGAAAACAACGTCCTATTCCCGAAGACCCTTAACCGGGAGAATGGCGGGCTGAGAACAGGTTAGGAAGCCTCCGCGGGTAGCGCGGGGTTCGTTCCCCGATTGCCCGAGCCCCGCAGCCAGACTACAATCCAATGTGCACCCCTTGGTGCACATTGGACGCCGTCGCGTGCATCCCTCTACTCGCCGCTCTGCTGACGGGCCCGATCCATGCTTTCGAAGACCGCCGAGTACGCACTCAGGGCCGTGGTCTGTTTGGGCCGAGAGCCAGCTGCTCCGGTGTCAGCCGACACGCTTGCCGATCAGACGCAAGTCCCCAGGCGTTACCTCACCCGAGTGCTTCAAGACCTCTGCACCGCCGGCATGGTGCGTTCCAGACCTGGTCCCGGCGGAGGGTACGAGTTGGTCAAGGCGGCTGGCAAGCTGACAATCCTGGATGTTGTCAACGTCGTCGATCCGATCCAGCGGATCACGTCATGCCCGCTCGGACTCGACGGCCACAAGAAGCTCTGCCCGCTGCACGCCCAACTCGACCGGGCCTACGCGGCCACCGAAGCGGCATTCGCAGCGGTTTCGATCCAATCGTTAGTCGACTCCGCTAGCCCGATCGCACCGCTGTGCGACGCGTCGTAACGCTGGCATCCGTCCGAAGGCTGGAGCACTTTCACTGTCTCAGCGGGTCTGCTTTGCCGAGCAGGTCTTCTCGGTGGTTAGTCACTTCAGCGCCGACGAGAGACTTCTCACAACTGGCGGTCGATGCATCTGCAGTAGATTCGCAGTCCCATCTCACCGCGGTCAAGCCTACCGCCGCGTTTTCAACTACGCCTGGATGGTGCGGCCGCATCGCCCCCTCCGACATCACCGCAGTGCCGAAATCCCCGAGGTATACGCCCGCAACGCCAGCGCCCCGCCGACCGCAGCCTGAAAATTTACTTACCGAAGATTCCACAACTGCCCCGGGCAAAAAAACCTCGCGATCGCTCCGGGCGGAGCCCCCACGGGGGGGCGCCAGGAAGGACCCCAAGGCCCCCCGGCACCCACTATTCGCGGCGACGCGGACAGCGGGCCTCGGTTGCCGGCATGACACGCTCAGGCGCAATTCACCTCTGCAACAAGCCAGCGACTCGGGTCTCGGGACAAGAGTTCCATTGCCGCTACGTCGACATGACCGTTGCGAAGGCCGGGGAATTGCTCCTTGACCGTCTGGCGAAGCAGCTCAACGTGCCTTCGCGGGAGTGAGCGGTATGCCCGCTCCCATTCGCCTATGATCGCGCACCGAACCGTGTTCAGCCGCTTGGTTTCAGCCGCCAGCGCCTCATCGATCGGAGCACGGTAGCCCTCCCGCGGTGCCGGCCAGTCTTCAAGCTCCCCGGTCAGACGGCGATACAGGGCCCCGGCGTCGTAAGCCCCCGGCCTGCCACGATACTCTCGGACATATCGCAGTGCCTCTTCCGCTGTCAGGCCACGGACTCTCGCCTCTTGAACCGCCTGGCGGACACAGCTGACCCCTTCCAATCGCAGAGCATCCTCCACCTCCCTCCAAACCTCGACGGGGCCAGTGTCGGCAACGCCGCCAGGAGGAGACTTTGGAGGAGGAGGTTCTTTCCTTTGTTCCTGACTTCTGCCTTCTTCCTTATTCTGTGTCCGCTGTCGCTTCGGTTTCGGCGCAGGACTAGTTCGATGTCGGGCCGACGCTGGTCCGCTTTCGGTTCGCTCCCTGCTTGGCAATCGAGCATAACTCTCCCAGTCCCTTATGGTTACGACGGTCGGACGACGCTCCGTTGATAGTTCGATTAGGTTCCGTTTCTCCAGCGACTTGAGAGCGCGGTAGCACTTCGACTCGCTACACCGCGAAATCGAGGCCAAGTAGCTCTTCCCACAGACGAGTTGCCCCTCCTCAAGCATCACGCCCCCATGCCCCGGCCCCGCTCGGTACCGAGCGCGGATCAATAGCATCATGAACAGACCAGCTAGCTCCGGCCGGTCTTCAAGTTGAGTGATCTTTTCACGAGGAATAATCACAGATCCAGACAGCATAACGTCTCCTCATCAATCCAATGCACGCAACTAGACCCTGCCGCACCGGCACCACGGGCGTGAGGGAAGTCGCCAACGCCGCGGTGAGGGCCACCTCTTCTTCCGCCACGTGCGGCGTCGGCTGACTGCATCACGGCCCCGATGACGACCTCGCAGCATGGCGACACGATCACGATCCATTGCCAGCGCTAGCTGCAGCCCCCGCCCGCAATTGGTTGCGAGCATCGGTCACATCATGCAACCACTCTCCGACGGCCTCCAGCGACGTCATCCGCCTGCCAGCAACGATGAGAGATGGCAGCACAATCCCCGCAGAGCCCTTGTGGCACCAGCGGCAAACCGTCGTGGGATGAGGCCGTTGGCCGGTCAGCCGCTCGACCGCCGCCGCCACTGGGTACATGCGGTCCCCCTGAGAGACGTCCAACCTGACACGCGACTCGATAGACATAGAAAAACCCTCGCAAGTAATGGTGTGAATACCAACTACTGGCAAGGGTAAGCGGAGTTTCGACGGCTCCTAAAAACGGACAACCAGATGTCCGCTCAATCGTCTACTTCGAGCAGCCAGCCATAGCGATCCGGCTGCAGCTGGCGCGCCAAGGCGGCGACCTGTGGCGAGTCTTTGGGCTGGTTGAGGAATTCCGAGATCAGAGCTTTCTTGCTTCTTCTCTGGCCTATATGAGCGGCAAAGTTTCTCCTTTGATCTCGGATGAAGCGAGCCGCACGCTGTATCTGTACGTCCTGAGGGAGGACCCGCCCCCGGCCCCCACTTTTCTTGGTTTTCTCGTCGCTTTGTCCGTTTTGCTGTCCGTTTTGTCCGCTTTTTGGGCCTACTTCTGCTGCAGACACAGCCGCAATGGTCGATGGCTGGAGTCCCTCCGAGTCTAAAAGCCCCGGATAATCTACCCGCAGCATGCTCTCCTCCTTGGACAACCCGCAGAAAATCGCTTTCCATCGCGACGATGGGACCTTCTCGTCACTATAAAAAGGCTGCATGTAGTGGCTTCGAAGATCGAGGTCACTCAGCAACTCGATAGAGCAGTTGTCGTCGGGTTGATCCACCGCCTGCGAAAAGAACTCGACTACCATCTGCCACCAAATGATGCGGTCCGGCTGGCTCAGCCTCACGCAGCCCGACAACATCTCAGCCACCGTGTCGACCGGTGACGCTGGCTCGCCGGCATCTTGCAGGAGGAGATTCAATGTCCGGCCAGAATTCGCTAGCGCGTCCTGCCAAATCGCATCGAATGCTTCGGCGTATGATGCAATAGGGCTCTCGGCTTGGTCCAGCGTGGGCGCCTCTCCACGCCGGGAATAGCAGTCGTGGATACGTCGTGGATCGATCGCTGCCAGATCCTCCAGGAAACACCTGCGGACGACCGCCAAGAACTCAAAGAGGTCTTCCAAGCCCTCTTCAATCTTCTTCACCGGCTTTGATTTCGTCGGAAAGAAGTCCGCAGTGCGGCAATGCACCACCAACAGATCGGGCATCCCCCAGAAAGTCCGGGCCCATCGAACAAGCGCAGGCGGACGCCCTTTGTCCATGATAAATGCACCTATCTATAGGAGACCGGGCCGACCGGCCGGCGCCGCGTGTAGGTGCTCACGCCGAGCCGACCGGTCTGTGCGGGGATCAGCCGCAACCCGGAAGAGTCTATAGCGGGAGTTTAGCCAATGGCCTTTGCAGCCGCGATACCCTTGGCCGCATCGCGTTCAGCGTACACCTCCGTGATCCGCGCGCAGGAGTGCCCCAGCAGCACCTGTGCCGCCTCCAGCCCATAGGCTGCCCGCGCCCTAGTGGCAAACGAGTGCCTGAGCTGATTGGGCGACCACCGCTCCACACCGGCCCGTTCGCAGGCCCTCTGGATCGCCCGACGGTAGCTGTCAACACGGTACCGCCGGGCAGCTTTCACGATGCTCGCTGCCCGCGTCGGCCGGAAACAGTACTCCTCTACTGCCCGAGACAGAAACGGCCTTAGAACTTCCTGACCTCGTGGGCCGATGAAGACGCTGCGTTCCTTGCCATGGTGCTGCGTCTTGTGCTCGACCGGGTGGAAGACCCAGACATCGCCTGAACGGTCCACGTCAACAGGCCGGACGCTGCACACCTCAGCGGGGCGCATCCCGGTCGACCTTTGGAGCTCAACCATGGCTCGCACCGTTGGCGAAAGCTCCAGCAGCGTCGCATCGACCAGCTCATCGGCCACGGGCTGAACCGAGGGCCTTTCGTGCGCACGCGTCCTACCAGCCTTCAGCCCTGGAAGAGCCCGAAGCCCCGACCAGATCTCTGCGGAAACCAACTCCTCGGACGCCGCCCAGCGGAACGCTCGCACGATCCTGCCCACGTTCTGATTCACAACGCCACGGCAGAGGCCAGCCTCGATCATCAGTTCTCGCACCGCCCGTAGGTCACCTACACCGAAGGAATCCGCGGGCAGTTCCTGATGATGAGACAGCAAATACCGCATCGCGCACCGTATGGATGCGACTTCGCTGGTGGGCTGCCCATTGGGGCGGCGGTAATACTCCCGCACGTGCTCCTGGTACCGCGCAACGAGCCTTGCGATGTCGACGCCGGGACGATCTGCTAGATTTGCGCCGGTTGGCGGGGCGAGAGTGGGCATCCGTCCCGCCAAGAGATCGGCGGCGATACGGGCATAGCGTTCGCGGCTCTCATCGGAGCCATACTTGCCGAGGTAGACCGACCGGCGTTTGCCGGTATCGGGATCGGCGATCTTAATGACCGCTTGACCGCTGGGCTTGTGGTGCGAATAGGCCGGGACTCGAGGGACGCGTAGCACTGCCAATGCCTTTCCGGGGTAGGTTTACCCCAAGAATCTGCTTGCAGGCAGCACTGCCGACCGTCGACAGGTATCGCTAAAAGCTGAACGCCCAATAACTTATGTAAAGTCGGGCCGACAGGATTCGAACCTGCGACCTTTTGACCCCCAGCCATCCTATGGCATCGAAAAGCCAACCGAGTAGGCACCGTGAAATCACGACAGATTTTTTATATCAAGGGGTTTGCAGCATTGGCAACCCCTGGGCGATTCCAGCTAATTCCGCTCTTTCAGCATCGAAAGGCGGATGGAATGGCGGATGGAAATGAACGGCGCCACGGGGCTCTACTGTGGCGAGCAGGACCTGTTCGCCTTCTTGATCGACCCCACCGGGTGGATTGAGATCGAGGGCGGGGCGTTTGCTCCTGGATTCTTCGTTTGGAACTCCGAAGTCGGCAGACGCTCCTTGGGCATGCGTGCGATTCATCAGCAAACGCGCGTCGCACTTCAGCGTAGACCTGGCTGGTTGGAAACCACGTGCGGCGCCAATTGGAAAACCTTGTGGGTGGAATCATCTGCGACCGAAGGGCCGCGAATGTCGACGGAGGCATGAAACGAAAGAATACCCTGCTGCTCCCCCTTACGCCCTACACCCCTATACGCTCGTCAGCAGCCAGCTCTGCTGCCTCGGTAGACCGGCCAGGCAGATCACTGCCTGATTCCCCGAAGATCCCAGCGAATACACTTTCCAGTTCTGTTAATCCGGAAGCGTGCGACGCCGACGTGAGGCTGGAGAGCAGCGTCGTGGAATGCCCGCTGCGGTTATGGCGGAACTCTTTGGTCAGGTCGGCGTCCGAACCACCGCCGGTGAGGCGCGCGGGACCATGGTGCTTGAGGACAAGCGGCAGGTGCTCGAACTGATGCTCTGACGGCATGACCTAGGCGCCCGCAGCGTCCTCTCCCTCGCAATGTTGATCGGCGACAGCTCCCTCCAGCAGCCCCGGCGTGACCACCTTCTTTCCCCCAAGTACCGCCGCCTTGGCCGCGTCGCGAGCCACTTTGACGACGATGGCCGCCGAAGAGCCGACCAGCTTGTTCACCAGGGGACGCCACTTGACGGTCGGTGACACCTCGACCGCGCTCAGCGTCATTTTCAGTAGTTGCTCGATCTCGGTTGCTCCGGGGGGCGGTACTTCCAGGATTTCATCGAACCGGCGGAACAGCGCGTTGTCTAGCGCGTTGTCGATGTTTGTTGTCGCTACCAGCAGGCCCGGTGCGTCGTACTCTTCCATCAGTTGCAGCAGAGAGTTGACGATCCGGGAGGCTTCGCCGATGTCGCGGCCGCCGGTTCGCGAGCGGGCGATGAAGTCGCACTCGTCCAACAACAGCACACAGGGACGCTCGCGGGCGGCGTCGAAAACGGCGCGAAGGTTGGACGCTGATTCACCGAAGAAGGACGAGATCAAGGCGTCGATCCGGACCTTGAGCAGTGGTAGGCCCGTGTTCCAGGCCAACCGCTGGGCGCCAAGGGACTTGCCACAGCCGGGTCGCCCATAAAGCAGGATCCGCTTGCGATTGCGGAGGCCGTAGGCCCCCAAGCGTTCGCGGGCGGCGTACTCGCGTTCGATGCGCGCAAATCGCTCCTCGACCGCTGGCGGCAGGACCATGTGGTGCTCCAGCCCTTCGCGCGGCAACACCGACACCAGCAGCTCGCCACTGCGACGACTCAGCGGCAGTTCGCGGAGCCGGCCTCCCGTGTCCTGACGCGCTCCTGGGCCGGTCTTGCTGCTGGCCAGGATCTGCGAAAGCTCGCCCGCCAGACGCCCGTGGCCCCGCTCGCGCTCCGACTCAACGACCCGCTTGGCCAGCAGTTCGAGGTCCTCTTGTGAACCGTCGGCGATGGCGCGGACGATCCGTTTGATCATCTCTGCGTTCATGCGTGGGCGCCTTTCCGGGGTTGGGATCTCCCTTTCTCTACGCTCTGGGACTTTTCCAGCAGGTAGCACCAGCCGCCGCCGCGCTTCTCCGAGCGGATGGCGTAGCCGCGCTGGCGGAGCGCCAGCACGTTGCGTGAGACGGTCGGTACGGACACGCCCAGCTCCTCGGCGATCTGCGGCGTGGAGTAGGTCCCCTTGGTGATGCAGCGGAGGACTTCTTGGAGGCGCTGCTCGATCTCGTAAGAACGCTCGTAGGGCATGGCTGGTGTCTCCCGATATACTCTATCGACAATTGATAGACTTAGCTTCAATCTTCTGTGAGCGAGCCGTGGGAGTCAACCGCAGCGCCGCCAAGGCGACAAAGGGCCGCCAGAGTCTGCTAAAGAAAGCCGGCGGTAGCGTGAGGAGGTGGCGACGGTCTGGGTGTGGCTGGGCTTCCTCCCCTACCTCCATACGGCCCCAATCGGCGGGGCGAGGGCCATACGGAGGAAGGAAAGGAAGCCGGCGCAGGGCCTGCAGAACAAGGGACTGTCTCTGCGAATTCGACTATCCTTCTCACACCTTAGCCAACTACCCACTACCTGACGCGGGGCGTCAATAACTATATTCGTCCACGGAGTTGCTTGGGTGCAAGCGAGCCTCTCGTCTTGCATCCCATTGAGGGTGCGCGGGGAAGCAATTTCAATCGAATGTTCAACGTCCAAGCAAATTCGACGGTGCAAAATTCACTTGTCCGCTGGTCGGTTCCTTCGCGCTCAACAGATCCGTAGAGCCGTACCGGAGGCTTCCAGATAGCAGCAGGCCTTCGATTTCAGCTTCTGCGGTGCGAAGTCGAAGGACAGCATCAAGGTAGTTGCTGTTCGTCTGGGCAAAGGTCCGCTGAGCCGTGAGCAGCGCGATGTAGTTGCTCTCGCCGGCTTGGTAGGTCTGCCGCGTTAATGACAACGACTCCTCAGCGGCCGGGAGAATCGTAGCACGGTAGCGATCGACCTGGGTTTTTGAAGTGGCGTAGGCCTCAAAGACAGGAGCCAGACGCTGTTGCAAATCGAGCGTCAGTTGGGCGACAGCCTGACGTGCTGCGACGACTTCGCATTCTGCCCGGGCAATTCCCCCTTGATTGCGATCAAACAACGGAATCGGCATCGTGACTGCGACACCACCATCGGTTCCACCACCGATTCCGTTGTCGATGACGTTGACCAATCCTAGGAAGCTGACGTTGGGAATCCGCTGAGCCCTAGCTCGATCGAGGGCGAGTCGCGCTCTCTCAACCTCCGCGACCGCAGCGGCAACTTCAGGGCTGCTTGTCTGCAAGCGGGTTAGCGCCCGCTCAAACTCGATCTCGTTGGATGGGCTGTCAGGGTCTCCGAGTAAGGGTTGCTGCGTCAGTGTCGCAACGCCGGTCACGGCCGTCAGGCTCCGCCATGCGGATTCGTAGCGGTTGCGGGCCGCTTGTTGTTGGACCATCGCTTGCTCCGCCTCCAACTGAGCTTGCAAAACATCGACGCGGCCAACATCACGCGCCCGGTACAAGGCGTCTACAGCGTCGGTCCCTTCGGTGCTTACGCGGATGATCTGCTCGGCTAAACTCACCTGCTGCTGGGCCACGAGCGTTTGGTAATACGCGACCCGCACGTCGGTCAACACCCGCAAGCGTTGACCGGCCAACTCTTGTTGCGCAATTAGCACGCTCCTATCGGCGACTGCACGGTTGAGTCTCAGTTTGCCGCCAGTTAGGATTTCCTGGCTATAAGCGATTCCGTGTTGCTCGGCCAGACCTCCACTACCAAGTTGTTGTCCGTCGTAGCCAACAGTCGGGTTCGGCAGCAATCCCGACTGTACCCAAGTGCCGCGAGCCGCCCCTACCATCGCACGAGCACGGGCGAGAGATGGGTTTCCGTTGAGCGCCATCGCTTCTAACTCGTCGAGCGTCAGCCCTGCCGGCTGACCACCCGGAGGGTTGGGCGGGGGCAACCGTTCAATCCCCGCAGTTGGCTGTGCTGCTGGAATGATCAAGGGCACCAGTGGCTCTTCAGCGTTTATCACACCCGTTAAGAAAAAAATTAGAAACGTTGGTAGGATTGGCGTGCGGCCAATCCTTTCATTCGTGTCAGAACGTGTGCATGTGTACTTATACATAATGTGGGGCTCCCTCCCCTAAACAATTCGTTGACGCGTTGCTATCAGTATCTACCTGACAATGAGTTGCTGGTTAGGCATTTCCGACCGGCGTGCTTTGCCCCGTGAAGCTAACTGCCATAAATCATCCAGCCGCTGATTGCCGCCGCCGCTAGCGCTATCCCTGTGCCTATCGCAACCCAAAAGCTCAGGCCGAGCTGAGTTGCGAAAGCAAGCGGAACGAAGAACGGCAACCCGAGTGGAACAAGCACAAGTGTCTCGCGGGCCAGTTTGGACATTGCTTGAAGGTCGTGATGCTGCTGCCAACCAAACAGGAACGCGAGGATACTCACGACCGGTAACGAGAGCAGGAGCGCCCCAAACCGTGGGTGGCGTTTGGAGATTTCGGCAACGGCGACCAGGATCACGGCGGACACTAAGATTCGCAGGGCGTTTGCTAGCATTCCCATCGAGAAATCCTCCGTGTCATGCCCCCCCCGGCCTGGATTCTGGCCGGAGGAGCGAATAAATCAGCGACGCCACTTTTTCGACGGACCAGCCTATTCTTTGAACTCGCCCATCACGGGCTTGCCATCAATCTCGCCCGCGAGAGTCCCCTCAAAATCGGCGACATTGCCGATGCCCGGATCGGAGCCAACAAATGTTGTCGTCGCTCCGGAATCAGCGCCACTAGGCAGTAAGGTGATGGTCATCGGCGCAACCACGGCTCCGTCGGCCGTCTTCGTTTCTTTGATGCTGAGAATGAACTCGGTCGCCGCAACGGCAATGGGCGTTTTCTCGTCGTCGCCGAGAAACAGGATCTGGCATTGCTGATTGCCGTGGTCCACGGTGAACTCGGCGTGGTGGCTCCCGAGGTCAAATACCACGCCGCCGTTCGGGCCCGCACCGTGGGTGTGCTCCGCTTCTTCCGTGCCGGCAGGAACCGTCGGAGGAGATGGTTTAGCCGCCTCTTCTGGCTTGGAACAACCGGTGAACCACGCCATTGTCAACACCAGCAAGGTTAAGGTGGCGTCAAATCTCAACATAGTAAGTCTCCTAAAGCAAGGTTAAACTAATACACACACAGGTCGCTCACGCGGCCCGCAACAAGTCGTCTTCGGTTCCTTCGCTCTGAACGAGGCGCTCCGCATCCTTGCCGCTGAACTTCCAGAACAAACCGGGGTGCAGCAAGAACTCGCAAAAGGTCGACGTCACCAGCCCGCCGGTGATGACGGTCGCAACCGGGTAGAGGATCTCCAGGCCGGGCTTTTGCCCCCCCAGCACGAGCGGCAGCAAACCAATTCCCGCCGTCAGGGCGGTCATCAAGACCGGTGAGAGCCGCTCTAAACTGCCACGCAGTATTGTCTCGCGGGAGAAAGGCTGGCCTTCCTCCTTCATCAGGTGGAAGTAATGCGTCACCAGCAAGATGCCGTTGCGGACGGCGATGCCGCTGAGCGACACAAAGCCTACCAGGGCAGCCACTGTCAGCGTTTGGTCCGTCACAATGAGGGCCAGCACCCCACCGATGAACGCCGTTGGCACGGCGTTTAGGATTTGGAGCGTGATGCGTGTCGAAGGATACAGCATCATCAGCACGACAAAGATGCCCGCTAGTGACACCGCGGCGAGGCCGGTGATCATCAGCGTGGCCGAACGTTGCGCTTCAAACTGCCCACCGAACTCGATGAAGTAACCTGGTGGCAGATCGAGCCGTTGCCTGACTCGCTGTTCGATCTCGACGATGGCGCTCGCCAAGTCACGGCCCGCGACGTTGCAGCGGACGACCTGCTTGCGCTGCACGTTCTCGCGGTTGACTAAGTTGGGGCCGCTCGCCGCCGCTGGGAAGTCGGCTACGTCTTTCAGCCGTACCTGGCCTTTTCCTGATGGAAGATCGAGTCGCAGCTCCTTGAGGAAATCAGGGTCGGAGTGGTAGGGCTCCTGCAAACGGACCACCAAGTCAAACCGCCGCTGCCCTTCGAGAACTTTGGAGATCGCTTCGCCCTTGAGCGCCGTCTGGACGAACTCGGCAACGTACGCTCGGCTCAGCCCATAGACCGACAGGTCATCCGGGCGGAGGACAACTTGCAATTCGTCCACACGCTGCTGCGGATCAACGATCGGCGGTGTGACGCCCTCAATTTGCTTCAGTTCGTCCCGCGCTTGCTCGGCAAGTTGACGAAGCTTGTCGAGGTCGCTGCCAAATATCTTCACCGCGACCTGAGCGTTCACGCCCGAGAGCATGTGGCTGATGAGGTGCGAAAGGGGCTGTTCGGCGTCGATCTCCACGCCCGGCGCTTCGCTTTTTAGTTCGGCAATCACCGTAGCCAGAAACTCGTCGCGGCCAACGCCCGACTCGGGGTTCATCGTCAGGATATACTCACCGACGTTCACCGGCTGGGCGTGCTCGTCGAGTTCTGCTCGACCGGTGCGGCGGGCAAAATGGACAACAGGGCCATCGGGGTTGTCGGGCGTCTTCTGCATCGCCCTGAGCTTGCGGTCGATGACCTGGGCAACATCATTCGACGCCTTGAGCGACGAGCCACCTGGCAATCCGACGTTGATCTGCACGCTGCCTTCGTCGAATTTCGGCAGGAAGTCCGCGCCCATCTGTGTTATCTGCCATACGCTGAATCCGGCCAGCGTCCATGTCAGCAGCAACAAAGCAGTCGCGTTTCGCATGCTGAAACGAATCAGGTAGCCCGCCAGCCACTTGAGCGTCCGTAGCAAGAACCCGTCCCCGTGCCGGTGGGTCGCTGCCGAGTTCGGCAATAGGTAATAGGACAAGACTGGCGTTACCGTCAGCGAAATCACCAGCGACGCTAGGATCGACACGATGTACGCCAATCCCAAAGGGATGAAGAGCCGTCCTTCTACCCCCGAGAGGGCGAACAACGGCAGAAAAGCTAGGATCACGACCGCCGTGCCGAAGACGATAGCCGACCGAATCTCTCGGCTCGCTTCGTAGACAACGACGATGGCGGGCTTGGGCTTGGCCAGCGCGTTGTTTTCCGAGAGGCGACGGAAGATGTTCTCGACATCGACGATAGCGTCGTCGACCAACTCGCCCATCGCTACGGCGATGCCGCCGAGCGTCATGACGTTGATAGATAGTTCCGTCCCGCTCAGGAAACCAATCAGGCGAAACACGAGCGTCGTCACGACGAGCGAAAGCGGGATCGCTGTCAATGTAATGAAGGTCGTGCGCAGGTTCAGCAGGAACAGGAACAGCACGATCACGACGAGCACAGCCCCGATAACCAGCGCCTCCTCGACGTAGTAAATCCCGCGATCGATGAAGCTCTTGAGCTGAAAGAGGTCAAGATTGACGACCACGTTTGCGGGGAGGGTCGCTTTCGTCTCTCGCAGCGCCTGCTTGACCAAGTCGGTAAGCTCACGCGTGTCGGCGTGCGGCTGTTTGACGATTGTGATTACCACCCCGGCGTTGCCGTCGATGCTGGCGTCGCCCCGTTTCGGCGCGGGGCCTTCTTGCACGTTGGCCACATGCCAGAGCAAGACGGCCCGTGCTGCATTCACTTTGACGGGAATTTTGAGTAGGTCGTCGATCACCTGCGCGGGCAGCGGGCCGAGCCGCCCGATGACGCGAACCGGTCGTTCGCTCTGGCCCTCTTTGAGAAAGCCGCCACTGGTGTTCAGGTTGTTCTCCCGAATCGCCCTCTCTACATCTTGCAGCGTAACGTCGTACTCTTGCAGCTTGATCGGGTCGATCAGCACCTGATACTGTTTGACATCGCCCCCCATGATGATGACTTCGGCAATGCCCGGCAGCTTGAGAAGACGCGGTCGAATCAACCAATCGGTCGTGGTCCGCAGGTCCATCCGCTCCTCAAGCGGCGTGGGGAAGGTGACCACATGCGGATTGCCTGCTACCGTGAATGCCGCCGTCGGGCGTTCCTGCGTCCCCCTAAGAGTTAGCCTTTCGTGGGGAACCTTTTTCCAATTTTCGGGCACATCACGGTCGGCCGGTTTCCAAACGGTGAACGAACCGTTCTCGGCCAGTTCAGCCAACAATCCCGTGTCGCCAATCGGCGTAAGCCGGCCTCCTTGCGGCCCCTCGCGGTGATGGACACCAACATGCAGAATCTGTCCCATGATTGAAGCGGGTGGGGTCATTTGCGGCCGGATGCCTTCGGGCATCGGGACCGTGGCGAGCCGCTCCATCACGACCTGCCGGGCGTAGCGAATCTCGGTTCGCCAGCCGAACTCGACGTAGATGACGTTCATCCCCTGGCTCGACTGGCTCCGCACCGCCTCGACGCCTGACGCTCCTAGTAGCGCCGTTTCAATGGGATGCGTCACGAGGGTTTCGACTTCCTCGGGGGACAAGCCGGGACACTCGGTCAAAATGACGACCCGTGGCCGGTCGAGGTCGGGAAACACATCGATGGGGATCGTGGTCGTTAAGTAGCCGCCGTAGACCAGCACCACCAAAGACGCAGTGAGCACGAGCACGCGTTGGCGGAGAGCGAGGCGTATGATTGCATTAAGCATTGGTTACTCCACCTCGTCTTCGTTTTTGTGGAGACTGCCGTCCGCATGGATGTGATAGCCCTCGGGCAGGTCGTTGGAGCTGGTCTTTGTCATGCGGTTGAGTTGTACGGCAGCCGTTTGCGCTACCGCGGCGAGCGTCTTCTGCTGGTCGCCTTTGGCGTACGTTGCGAGAGCGCCGTCGTTGGCGAGTACGACGCGTTTCTGGTCGCGATGCAGCACGCGTACTTCGACCTTCTCGAACGTGTTGACGTTCTGCGTGAAGACGAATGCCTCGGCGCCTTCCATTACCAAGGCGTCGGCCGGCAAGTTAAAAACTCCGTCGAGACGCTCGACTCGCACCCGAAGTCGGACTTTCTGTCCTGGCCGAAATCGCCAGAGGAGCCGTGTATGGTCGTCGTGCCGGATGAGCTTGTGCTGATTCTCCAGCGGCAGCATGAAGCCGAAGGTGCGCGTTTCGGGGTCGATGGTGTTAGCGATGTAGCGGATCGGAATCTCGCGGAGGGTGGGGGGCCAATCCGTTTCCGATTCTTCCTGGAAATCGACCTCGACCGGCCACCCATCTCGCACACTCCGTTCAAGGAGAGACGCTTCGTCTCGAAACGCCCGACCCTCAATGGCTAGCGACTGGTGGTTCGACAAGTGGCAGAGCGTTTGGCCGGCTTGGACTTGCTCGCCTCGTTCGACTAGCAGTTGCTGGAGTTCGTAGCCAAGCGGCTTGTCTTCGTTTTCATCGAGAGTGCCCAGCCGTGCTTCCAGAGGTGGGGCGACGATTGATAGTTCGCTCAATAGGTCGCCCTGAGCCACGCCACGGATGGCGTCGGGAGACAGGCCGCGACTGGCTAACTCTTGGCGATATCCCTGAGCCGCGACCTGAAACCGAGCAATCTCACTCTCGATCTCGATAATACGAGAGCCCGGAATCCCTTCCCCTGCACCTGCTAGCCGGTCACGCCTGGCTTGGGCGAGCTTGATATTCTCGTTCGCCTTGAACAGCTCGGTCTGCGCTTGCTGGAGCGTTTCGCTTGCTAATCTCAGGGTAAAAAGTTGGTCACCCGGTTGGACCAGGTCTCCTGGGATGTGAAAGAGTTCGCTGATTGTTCCGGTTACCGGCGCAACTACCTCGCGGTCGCTCATTCCGGGCCGATCCACGATCATCCCGGGGACTGTCACCGTCCGCCAGAACACGCCTGTTTCCAGCGTCTTGGCGGTCAGGCCCAGGTTCTCTTGAGCGCGCTCGCTGACGATAATTTTGCTGGGCGGCGTCGCGGTGGTAGCCGGCGCAGGGGCATCTTTCGGAAGCTCAACACCATCGACCGCCCCGCGGTGCTCGTAAGCCCACCAGCCGCCCGCCGCGAGCGCCCCGAGAGCGCCTACCGATAGCAGGGCTTGAATGAATCGACGCACCATGGCGCACCTGAAGTAACGTGCTCGTGGGAATGAGCCCAGCTATTGGCGCTGAAAAAATCAGCGACAACCGGGCAGAAAGAATCGCCGCACAACACGCAGCGACTACGCATCGCGATAGCGGTGCTGGCTCAAATACGCAGAGTGCGCAGAGCTAGATAAAGAGCGCAGGCCGGTTCTTGCACAACGGGCCTCTGATGCGTGGCCGCAAGCGTGGACGCCGGAGGTTCGGCAGCTGGCAACGTCGGCAAACACGAAAGCTGGCTAATCGCCGCTAGAACGGCAGCGAGATGGGTTCCGCTCTGGCCTGTCGCTGCGGTTAACGACGGCAGGTAGACCGCGTCGGCATCGTGATCGTGGTGACCGCTGTCAAATTCGGCCCCGAGCGACTCGAATTCTTGACTCTCGCCGGGGGCAGTCTCGGCCTCGTAGCCGTGCGCCTCCGACTTATGGTGACAGGAACTGGCGTGGTGCTTGGCCCCGTGTAAGCAAGCGGACCGAGTGCCAAGGTGGATATGCGGCGCAGAGGCGTGATCTTCGGAGTGCGATCCCTCCAAGCCATGCGCGTGCGGTATCGCGGCCACTTGGCCCACGAGGAACGCTGCTAGCACAAGGCTGGAAATCAAACGCCGGTACATCACTCGCCTTTCAACGCCTTTGGGAAACAAGTCCTCATAGTAGTTATTGCGACGAGGCCTGGGAAGACCAAGCACGCACTTGTGGTTCTCTCATGAGCATTCGGCATAATCGGCATTTTGCATCACTTTCTCGAAAAACATATGTTTCCGTGCCGGCTTGTGCTTCGGCCGCCTCAGTAGATTCGAGCGACGCTGCAGATGTCAGCTGCACGCGCAACACTTGATGAAGAAGTCGACCTGACTAGACGAAGAGGGCCGCCAGAGTCTGCTAAAGAAAGCAGCGCTGGCAGTTGGGCGGGGCGTGGGATGTCTTGCCAGTGCTCAGGGGGTATTTGCTGGAATGCGCGAGCCTTGTTCATGTTTCCTTCCTTCCCTTCTTCCGTACGGCCCCAATCTGCGGGGGCGAGGGCCATACGGAAGAAGGGAACGAAGCAGCCGCAGATGACCAGGCCTCCCGATGTGCCAGGAGTCAGACTCCTCTGACGATTTGACCAGATCAGGCGATTTTTTTTCACCGGCCCCGTCAGGTGGTTGGCAAGTAACGGCAAAGGCAATTGCCCCGGCGTCGCGGACCCGTTCGCGGACTGAGCACTCGCCATATACCCAGGCAGGGTATATGATAGCGGGTCCGAACTCCAATGGAACCCTAGAGGGTGAGGCAACTGCAATGCAAACCGAAGTGGACCCAATCTGTGGGATGTCGGTCGATCCAGAATCTGCGATCTCGCTCGAATCGAACGGCGAGACGCACTACTTTTGCAGCGCGAGCTGTCGTGACCGCTTCGCCGCGCAGAAGAGCGATTCTGATTCAGCGGAATCCAAAACGGGAAGTTGCTGCGAATCGAGCAACACGCCCACTAAGGAACAAAAAGCCCAATCGTCTCATCGATCCCCAGCAGGACGCATCTACACTTGCCCGATGCATCCCGAGGTCGAACAGGTCGGCCCCGGGAGTTGCCCGAAGTGTGGGATGGACCTGGAACCGAAGACCGTGTCACGTGACGACGACCATGAGTCGGACGCCGCCGAAGCGGACATGACACGGCGGTTCTGGGTGGGGGTCGCGTTGAGTTTGCCGCTGCTAGTGCTAACGATGGGTCCTATGATTGGCCTTCCGATTAGCGGTTGGCTTTCGCCGACTGTCGAAGGCTGGCTCCAACTTCTATTGGCGACGCCCGTTGTGCTATGGAGCGGCTGGCCCTTGCTGCTGCGTGGATGGCAATCGGTGTTGCTTCGTAGCCCCAACATGTTCACGCTCGTCGCGCTCGGCACGCTCACGGCGTACGGGTTCAGCCTGCTGGCTGTCATCTTTCCCACGCTGATCCCCACCGCGTTCTATGAAGCCGGCCGACCACCGCTCTACTTCGAGGCCGCGGCGGTCATCATCACGCTCGTGCTGCTGGGCCAAGTCTTGGAGCTTCGCGCGCGGAAGCGAACCAGCGGCGCGATCCGCGAACTGTTGGAGCTTGCGCCCGATACGGCCCATCGCGTCACCGACAGCGGCGAAGAGGATGTGCCGCTCGACGCGGTGCAAGCCGGCGACCGACTACGCGTGCGACCCGGCGAGAAGACTCCGGTCGACGGCATCGTGCGTGAAGGGAAAAGCTCGGTCGATGAATCGATGCTCACGGGAGAGCCAACCCCAGTCGAAAAATCTGTGGGAGACAAAGTCTCTGCCGGGACACTGAACCAAACAGGCACGCTGCTCATCGAAGCCGAGCAGGTCGGCTCGGAGACGGTGCTGAGTCGCATCGTCGATATGGTGGCTGCGGCACAGCGGAGCCGCGCGCCGATTCAGAGTCTCGTTGATACGGTGGCCGCATGGTTTGTGCCGATCGTCATTGTGACGGCCATCGTGGCGTTCGGCGTGTGGGCGACCATCGGCCCGGAGCCACGGCTCGCTCACGCCCTGCTCGCCGCGGTGTCGGTGCTGATCATCGCTTGCCCCTGTGCGTTGGGTTTAGCGACCCCCATGTCGATTATGGTGGGGGTTGGTCGCGGCGCACGCGAGGGCGTGCTGATCAAAGACGCCCAGGTGCTTGAGACGATGGAGAAAGTGGACACGATCATTGTCGATAAGACGGGCACGCTGACCGAGGGCCAGCCCCGCGTGACTGAGGTAGTCACCGTCGAAGCAACCAGCGAAGCGGAGTTGCTTTCGCTCGCGGCAGCCGTCGAACAGTCGAGTGAGCATCCGCTGGCGCGCGCTGTCGTTGAAGGAGCCAAGGATCGCGAACTAGACGTGCCTGTCGCCGACGGATTCAACAGCACAACAGGCGGTGGAGTAGAAGGCACGGTAGAAGGACGACGCGTCTTGGTCGGCAAACGCGGTTTCCTGGTGAGCAATGACATCAAACTCTCTTCCGACCTTGACGAGCGAAGTCAGTCGCTTCAAGAGCAGGGACGGACGGTGGTGTTCGTCGCGGCGGAGGGTCGCCAACTCGGGCTCCTGGCCATCTCGGACCCGATCAAGGAATCGACGCCCCACGCGATACGCCGTCTGCACGAGCTGGGTTTGAAACTCGTCATGCTTACCGGCGACGCCGAGGCGACCGCCAGAGCGGTGGCCAACGAGCTGGGCATCGACGAGTACTCGGCGGGCGTGTCGCCCGAGGATAAGCACGACTACGTCCGCAAGCTCCGTGAGCAAGGCAAAGTCGTCGCAATGGCCGGTGACGGCATCAACGACGCCCCCGCACTCGCGGCGGCCGATGTCGGCGTCGCGATGGGCACTGGCAGCGACGTCGCGATCGAGTCGGCGGGCGTGACGCTCGTTGGGGGCGACCTGCGGGGTGTCATTAAGGCGGCTGCGTTGAGTCGCGCCACGATGCAGAACATCCGCCAAAACCTGTTCTTCGCGTTCGGCTACAACGCCCTGGGCATCCCGATCGCGGCCGGCGTGCTCTACCCCGTGTTCGGTTGGTTGCTGAGCCCGATGATCGCCGCCGCGGCGATGAGCCTCAGCAGCGTTTCGGTCATCGGCAACGCCTTGAGGTTACGGGGGGCAAAACTCTAGAGTGCTGGCGCTCCTACCGGAGTCCGGTGATGGCTACCCAACCCGCAAGGTTTGACATCATCGGCCCGCATGATTTGCCTACCCGGAACAGGCGGCTGTACCCCACTGGGGTAGTCGGCCGATATCAGAATAGACGACTATCGACAACGGAACAGCAGGCGGGCCAATCGATGCTCCAGACACTCACAAAGTCGATCACTGCGGCGCTACTGCTAGCACTCCCGGGGAGTGTCTTGGGCCAAGAAATGCTGCGTCCGCCTGCGGCGATGATTCCCGCCAGAGCGGGTGACGAGTATACGTCTCCGCCACGAATCCCTTCGTCGCTCGACGAAATGGCCGCGCTGGACCGCTCCGCGTTATCCACGGCCTCGGTTACCTATCAACTCGACGACCTGCTTACCGTTGCAGCGAACAACAACCCCACGCTCGTGCAGGCAAGACTGCACATCTCTTCCGAATTGGGCAAAGCGTTGCAAGCAGGCCTCTACCCAAACCCAGTTTTCTCTTACGAAGGCGAACAGATTTTTCTCGATGTCGCGGGAGACAAGGATTCGCCGGGTGAGTTTCAAGGGGGCGTTCTCCAGCAACGGTTCGTGACGGCAGGCAAGCTCCGCCTGAGTCGCGAGAAGTACCTGCGAAGGGCTCACGTTTCGGAGCATCTGGCGATGGTCCAGCAGTTCCGGGTCTGCAACGACGTGCGGATTCATTTCTACAACGCCTTGGCGGCAAGTGAGACGCTCGCCATCCGTCGTGAGCTGGTAAGAACCGCCGAGGACGGAGCAGTGACCGCCCAAGAGTCGTACAACATGGGCCAAGCGCGGCGACCCGAAGTGCGTCGTGCAAACGTCATGCTGCAACGCGCTCGGCTCGACTTGCTAAGTGCTGAAAACACTTACAACGAATCGTTTCGCCGGCTGGCGTCGCTAGTGGGAACACCGATCGAGGTTGGCGTCCTGTCAGGTGAGTTGCTCCCGCAGTGTCCGCCCCTGTCGTTCGACGAGGCGTTAGCTCGCTTGGTGGCCGAGAGCCCCGAGCTGGCAGCCGCACGGGCTAAATTGGCAGTCGATCAGGCCACT